TAACATTTTCTAGTATGAATCGTACCCACTAAGTGAAATCGAAAGACAGAAGCGAGGATGTTCGAAGATATATTTGATAGGCTATCAATATATCGAGGATCGACTGATCTAATCTGGCTAGCGATTGCAGGGGATATTGAGCGTTCCACCTGTGATCCGGTGCAGATGCATAACCGAGCGCCTTAAACCAGGTAGGTCCATTGAGACTAATGTTTCAGCATCCAATGTCGAACACTTACAGAGCTATTTATTTCGCGGATTTAGTTATCGCTACAACGCATTTGGAAATACACTAAATAAATTTATCACAATATCTTACTAAGATACTATTCAACCCTGGCTTTTAGAAGCTTAGCTTAGCTAACTTAAGGATTTAAGTGGGCAGTATATCGCCGCACCTGAATCCGTGTAGATTCGAATTAACAGATGTTAATCAATACTAAGTTGTATACTGACTACAAAAATTTGCATGGAGCAAGATCTTTACATTGATCCCTTCTACTTAATCATTCAGTTAATTCGTTTTTCTGCTGCTAGAATCAATTTAAAGTGAACTTCGATGATGTCAGGAGCAGAGATAACAGAGTTATTGTAATTATTTTATCCAGCTGGATAAAATAATGCACTAGTGCATAAAACTCGAAACTGGCAACATCAAGTTACCGAAATCATACTGACAAAATTCCACTGTGTGACTGTATTAACCTCTTCACAAGTTGGCAGACATTTAAAATTCCCTGGGTGAGTCACTTAGTTCATTGTAAAGTCATATGTTTTGTTTAAATTACCTATTTCTCATCTCACTGTGGCGGTACATAGCCTTCATTTTCGTGTCTCAGATTCTTGGTGTTCTATCATTCTCGGTTTACTCGTTTGTACCACTATCATTCTTATCGTCTTTTATATATAAAAGCTCACTACGTTAAGGTAAATATACTTTTCACAATACGCAGTGATTGGCTTTTCGTTTGCCGTCTGTAAGCTGGTCGTTTGAGTTCGCTGGAAAAACTCTTAATTCTGCGCTAGTATCTACGAGGTAGTGAAATTTTGTTATCACATCTGTGATGTATAACGGACGGCTTTGTTTGCCGGCTACGGTCGCCGTTAAGGCTTGCCGGCTGTGAAGTTTCCCGAATTGTTTTTCGTGTCGGTCGATTTTGAGTTGGGAAAGTTGCAGGGTTTTTTACAATTTCTGGAAGACCTTCCATAATGGTTATGATAACAGCACCAGTCGGGGTTATCCGTCTCTCGTGGTCTAGAAAAATATCACCCACCTGAACTGGTTCTTCGAGGGGTATGTGATCGTTACGGTAGTTATGAAATTTAAGATAAGGTGTCGTGTATGACATAATTCCGGATTCGTTTGAGGCTTTTCTTTGACTAAAGAATTCCTCGGCATGAGAAGATTTCGTGATTTTTAAGATGCGGTCGGTGGATGCAGCTAGTGCGTCTACGGCGTTGGTTTGAAACGACATCAGCACATCTTGCACTTGTTGAGGAGTTTTGTATGAGGATAGTTGTCTTGATAATTCATCATCGAATGTTCTTTGGCCGATAACTTTTCTAGTTCTTAGCAGATCCGTGTTGCAGGTTGATATTATTAAGGAGTTGGTCTAACATTTGTCGATCGGTTGGATCTCCACGTTTTTATATTTTTAAATAACGAAAAAATAGTCTAGTGAGTTTGAAATGACGTAACGTGAATGAAGCGTTAGTAAAATTATAAATCCATGAGTGATTGATATAACTGAATAAACGTCATAACACGAAATCAACACGAACTGTGATAATAACTTTAGTATAGCGGTAAATAAATTCTCGAAATAAATGGCTCTATAAGTTTTGACATTGGATGCTGACCACATTAGTTTTAATGGACTCGTGCATCCGCACCAGATCACGTGCGGGAACGCCGTGCTCAACATTTACTGCAATCGTTAGCCAGATTAGATCAGACGATCCTCGATATATTGATAGCCTATCAAATATGTCTTCGAACATCCTCGCTTCTGTCTTTCGATTTCATCTGTGGCATCTTCACTAGGTTAGGCGACAATATTGGCGCTAATGTGATCATGAGGGTATGTTAACGCATGTAATCATAATGGAACGATCCGCCAGATGGATGGGCGAAAGGAGTTGGCAGTAGGGTGAAATACAGATAAGATATTTCGATTTTAGCACATCCATGTCCCTGTTGTACCGGCTTCTCTGAGTGCGTCGGATTAGATTAGGTCGTTCATCTGGCTCGTTGATTAAGTCGGACACTTAGCTCGATTGTCGAGTGCGTAGAGTTCAAGATGATCATCGTGTATTAGTATTGCAGGTCACGTTTACTACGACATCGTGCCCAATGATTTTAGTGAAGTTTTAATACTAGTGTAGGGTCAGTGAAATGTCACTGGGCCCTAGCTGTATCAACTGACGATCAGGTCACTAAATGTCGAACAGTTCATCGATCCTCGTCAGGGTCAATACAAACAATGCACAGCAGTTAATCACACATCACGGACTGGAACATGCGGTGGTGGTTGCACTATCTCCTCTGTACCCTCTCTTATTATTATATTTCTGTAATAATGTCCTTTGAGTTGTAATGTCATCAAACCAGCCATAATACCTCTATACAACGAAGGGGTAGTCCATGTTTGGTGGCTGTCTAATTTTCAATTGCTGAGTTCCACGGTCAAACGGAAGATACGAATGCCAGAAATTTGAATACTTGTCAATCTTACAAATCCTGTCAAATATTTCAGTCGTAAGTTCATACACCTTTTAAACCCGTAGGGTCAGTAAACAATATAATCTTGATTTCAGTAGCGATCACTGGATGCTGAGTGGTTTGGCACTAAATTTCAGGGCTAAAAATACTCGACGCAAACAGTGAATGAGATCGACAGATACGACTTTTCTGTCATATATGTGTGTACACTTCCGTTCCGTCTGCACTGGAAGTTCATCAGACCTATGAGAAGATAACAAGGACCACATCAACCTCCAAGGTACTGTATGTGCCTTTCTGTTACCGTAGTAAAAAGGTCCTAAACGAATATGACGGTGAAATTTCATTCAAATACAAAACTGATAAAAAGAAATATTGTGAAGATGTTCTCACTTGAAAAAGTAAGTATAGAGGATGATTTCATCAGGACCTATGACATGTTAGTGATCAGGATCTTCTCTGACAAGTGACTCTACAGAAGGGCTAGAATAACTTTTAGTGTCCAGTTCGATATTCTATGCCATACGTTTGGGAATCTTGAAGTTATATGCCATCTGGCATCATTGCAGACTTATTAGCGACCGACCTCTTGTAGAACAGAGATGCAAGCATAAGTGATCAATCACTGGGTGGTGATCAATGTCATGCTTGTCTAGTCCTTATTAGTGCAGATCGAATGCTATCGACCATGTTGCAATGTGGCCACCAGTCTAAGTGACTCGACACTGCGGGCACTATTGTGAAATTAGATGGTGGTTGTAGGTAGTCGACAGGAAACCCTGGACCCGGTTTTCGTGCTACTTGGCACTCATCAGCAAGGTGTACCTGTAATCAGTTGTAATTAGCTCAACATCTTCGAGAGTAGGGTAGATAACTGCCCATTCATCCGTATACTGCCCCCTTCCGGTCGGAGTGTTGGCTGGATATGCAAAATAAACCGATATAAATTTCTACCTCCCTCCTCTTGAGTTGCGAACAAAGTTTTCTGTTTACTTCTGTTTTTTCTACATGAATAAATGTCCCGTCTTGTTAACTTTTAAAAAATACATTCAACCCCTTGATTGGTCCTCAATTTTTGAGACGAACCCTCTAATCAGTCTTCAAAATAAAAATAACTAGTATGTTGCATTTAAATACGCAGAGATTTCTTATGATAAATAGAGTCAATCAGGCACTACTACAAATCCTGAATCGTGGATTAACACCTAGATACGTGTATTAGAAAAACAAATTACTTTACACTAATTCTTGTGAAAAAACCAAAATGATCATTTCGCTTCAATTAAAACGCCGGTTTTGTCGAACGGTTCTTCGTTTCACGTGATCGTCAGATTTATTACTTCTTGTTGATGTGAAACTCTGAAGGGAAGGCTGCAGTCAAGTGGATAAACTGGCATTTAGAGAGGATCTTACTAAACTTCAAAGTTTGGCAGATGACAACGGACTTAACATTAACACTTCAAAGTGTAAAGTAGTTCATCTGAGACGTGTTACAGACTACACCTACAACTCAGGTAATCCTCCTTCGGAGGTATATTAAGTTGAAAAATATCTAAGAGTGTCGGCGCCCGTACAATCTGAAGTCTTACGCTGTGACACAAATGCCTTTCGCGTAAATGTGGTACTGGTAACGTTGGAGCGCTTTTTCGGCCGGTTTGACGGAAGAACTTTCAATATAATTTTCTACAGTTTTATTCGTCCCCATTTAGAGTGCTGAAACGTGGTATTTACTCTCACTCAAAAATGATAAGGACACTTCGGAATCTATCCGTCAAGCCATGAAATCAGTTTGAAGACTCAAATTCAAGTCTTATGAAGAGCGCCTCCAATCAATAGACGGCCACTAAATGAAGTGCAGGCGTCTTAAACGTGACATTCTAATGACTTATGGCATCATTAACACTTCTTTAAACACTTACTTAAGCCTAGTTGTAACATCCAGAATCTGGAGACATATCAGGACAGACTGTTGACACTCCTTCTACTCACTAAGAGTAGTCGAATGCTGGAATTTGCTCTCGGCTGAGCTAGTTCAGGCGAATTCCCAGTAGTCCTTTGTGAGAAAATGTGACATATTCTTAATTACTAAGGACAGTGTCTTACTATAAATTAGCAACATTTTTCTTGTCCTATTTAATCTTTAATATACCTGGGTTCCTACCTGTAGGCATTGGTAATCCACTGCTATTAGAAACAGAAGTCCATTAGGTGAAAAGCTCCTTGTGTTCTGTCCAGAACAATGTCAACAATTTGAACCATCGCGGAGTTTTGTTTTAATCAACCAACGATTTCACCTCTCACCGATGACCCGCCTGTCTTAGGCCAAATTTTCCAACTTGTTATCTCCCTAAATGGTTGGGTCTTATGGACGGTGTACGTTGTCAAAACGAAAAATCATATCCCGGAGATGATATGTCATCAGAGCCTTGCAAAAGTCTGTGTTTAAGTTCTCGTCCCGAAAATGGCAATTTATTGGTCCCAGTGGGACAAAAGTCGATTGACATTCAACATTTGGGGGATATTTCTTCTGAAGAGTATGAAAGGCTTGTTCTTTCCCCGCCCCCTGTGCCTCTAAATCTCGAGGCTGCTAGTGCTGCTATTTATGAAGCAGCCTGTCGTTCGCACTCTAGGACACAGTCAATTAGTGACAGCACGCCTTCCTTGAAGATAATTAAACATGAGGGATACACTGATTCACATAGTAACTGTAGTGCAAGATCTTCAGGTAAGCTTCACATTGTTCCGACCCATTCATCTTGCCTAGTTCGGATATAATATTTATGTACTGATTTGAATTATTCTAAATGTATATATCATGATCATATAGTATTGTTTAATAACTACGTCTAAATTCCTCTAATATGTTAACTATTGCATCCCCTGTGTTAGCTGTCCAATCAGCGTATGAAGTGAAACGGAAATAGTGCTAAACGATTAGTAATTGAGTTTGATGCTTGAAGTTCAGAGTTATTTGAACTGTCTGGATAAATGTTAGTTTAATACGTGTTTAAATGACTTGTCGAGGTTGTCGTGTGTTTCGCAAGTCGTTGTATATCATCCGTTTTAGTCCCATTGTTCTTTCTAGTCGTTATGAGATCTGTTAATTTGGTTTATAAACTCTTATTGATGCCCAAGTCAAAATTGTGGAACAAACTTTATAAATCAAAGGATCGTTCTGAAACTTCTTCCATAACGAGTTGTTCTAGAGTACGTTCATTTTCGGATAAACTAAGTTAACCTACACTTCCTAGCACAAGTTTCTACTTGGTATTTTATTATCACTGTATGGATAAGTATAGTCAAATACGTGGCTTGAGAAAATCCTCGTATATACAGCGAAAATCTCCAAGACAAATGAATTGGAGGCAGAAACGAAAAGAATATATATCAATCGGCAACAACTAGAAAGGTGGGGTCAGAACAAATTTGAAGAATCCTAGTCGACGGCTTATGATCCATGGAAGGTAACAGGAGTTAGTGAATAATGTACTTCGTAGTTCTAGATTTACTTCCTGTAGATCTGATTCTGTCGCTTATGTACTTGGCGTACAACCACTAGGTCATAACTTGGAAACCCTCTTGACTTACTTAGACTTCATTTGGTCGGCTGTATCTGTAAACCTTCAAACAGTGGTGTCGTTGACGTCAATATATACTCGGTCATTAAGTTGTTTCCGTGATTCAACTTGGTCATTCACTATTTGTTAATCAACCTCTTCTGCAGATGTCTTTAATGATGATTTGATCTTTCTGAACCGTCTAACCAACTGTAGGTACTGGTTAAGTAACTAAACAGTCAGTCGGCCACAAATTTATTTAAACACATGAACATTGCTACAGAAGAGCAACACAATGTGACTGCACCACGCAAATTATTGGATTTGTGTGTGGGCTGGGACACTGCCTGGGTGCCCAAATCGAAGCATTTGTGTCACAAAAGTATAGGATACGCCCCACATACACCGGTCTAAGACGGTACATCAGAACTAAATGTATAGCTGAGGAGTTTAAAAATTGGTTGCACCAGTGGTATGGGACTAAATATAAAGATGCGATCCCAAAATAACTGACTGATATAAAATTAGGGGTAAAATAAATGCACAATTGATTGATCACTGGGTGGTGATCAATGTCATGCTTGTCTAGTCCTTATTAGTGCAGATCGAATGCTATCGACCATGTTGCAATGTGGCCACCAGTCTAAGTGACTCGACACTGCGGGCACTATTGTGAAATTAGATGGTGGTTGTAGGTAGTCGACAGGAAACCCTGGACCCGGTTTTCGTGCTACTTGGCACTCATCAGCAAGGTGTACCTGTAATCTTGAGTGAACTGGTACTCCCTGACGGATTCGATCACGTGTCACCCAGCTTCACAGTCAAAGATGTTACCACTGAGCTATCCGGGCCACGACCGACCTGCTGGAGGACTGAGATGTAATCACAATTGGTTGATCACTGGCCACATTGCGACAGAATCAGATCTACAGGAAGTAAATCCAGAACTACGAAGTATATTATTTACTTACTCCTGTTACCTTCCATGGATCATAAACCGTCGACTAGGATTCGTCAGGGAAAACCAGTTCACTCAAGATTACAGGTACACCTTGCTGACGAGTGCCAAGTAGCATGAAAACCGTGTCCAGGGTTTCCTATCGACTACCTCCAACCACCATCTAAGATAAATGCAATTTCACCGTTGTGACTAATGAGAGATTTGTCGAAAAAGGTTCTAACTATGATTCGGATTATTACACTGATCTCAACTAGGGAGTATGCACGTGTCAGTACACCTATGACTATCAGTTAACCACTATAGATTAATGTAAGGTTTTGATATCCCTGTTGATGTCTTTTTCACATTACAACTATTCCTGTACCCTAGAGCACGTAGTGTTGATTTTTGCGACCGACGAAGTTTTAAAGCATTGTTACCCGGTTTGCTATTTTTCTCTCAAATCACCAACACTCATTCGTTCCTATCTGTGGTTAAACTACACATTAACACTAACTAACCGTAAGGAAAAGTTTTAAATTTATGGGGTGAGAAACATCCCAAACATTCTTAAACCAGTACTCAAGGTAGTTAAAGACTTTCCAGTTACCCCTAAACAAAACAATGTCATGCACGTCACTGTCTTATCGTAGCAGATAAAACGCTACAAAGGGTAGGCAAGGGAGGTTTAGCCTCTGCAAACATGTCTGTGCTAATATTAAGTAAAGCAGGTGATTCCGGTGATCCCCACTAGACCTAGTCGATCCAGATGATAGTTAACTGTAAACTTATTCGACTGATGTTATATTTAAGGGACAACAGTCGGATACGGCCATAAAGCCTGTCGACCAATAAAGTGGGTCATTACTAACAGATAAGTATGCCTACTCTCCAAAACGTTACTTAGGAAAAATGTTTAATCAATATATTCACGTTCGAATCTCAAACGATTAATTTACGTGAGCTTTCTGTCCCTAAACTTTATTTAAGCGTCGAGCAATTATGGGAGTTGGAACCATATTAGACTTTTTGACTTCTTTGTTTTTCTGTAAGGAGATTGTTGCCCCTAAGGTGGGACTATCAATAACATTTACGTCTTGATAATGAAGTTTGGAAGGTTTTCTTATGGTGGACTTCTGCTTTAAGTACTACCCAAAAAATACGTACAATCTAGAATCAAGCGACAATCATCTTTTGAATCCCTTCAACGATAACTGACAGCAAAATGGTCTGTAGAAATTATAAAACAGTTGAAAAAATAAGCATTCACAAATTAAGGTAGTTGTGATGTGTTACATATCCAACTACCACACCTACCAACACGCATTGTTGGCTAAGATAGTCAGTCGGTCAGCTACAACGTAGGACCAGGCATATATATGCATCGGTCCAAGTTGCCATACCACATTAGCACCGTTGGCTAACATAAGAGTAGGTCGTTAGAAGACCAGTCGTCCCCAGAGCAAGATATGAGGTCAGTTGGTTAAGTCATTGATTACTGGTTTTAGCCGTATTGGGAAGTGCAGTCTTCTTGGTTGCAATCTGGGTGACAATCCTTGTCCATGACTAAAGACTATGTAAAATTATAAGCAAAGGTGGATGATAGTGGCTAGCAATGGAATCCAGGACGCGTGTTTCGTCCTATTTGGGACTCGTCAGCTGGATGTACCTGCATCTCAGAGTTGATGTTCACTCCGGGACTCGAACCCAGTACCGTCCGCTTCAAACGCCATCGCGTTATCCACTTAGCTACTGAGTCCTGATAGCCACTTGCTTGTGCAATGGGGTGAAGTTTAATTCACTTGATATTGTTTTTGTTTTTCATTTGTTTGAATCTTCCCATTGATGTTTAGGACTGAAATTGTTCAGTCTCTTATTGGCATACGCACAGTATGCACATATGCCAATAAGAGACTGAACAATTTCAGTCCTAAACATCAATGGGAAGATTCAAACAAATGAAAAACAAAAACAATATCAAGTGAACTATGTAAAATTATTCAAAATTGTCTCGGCGGTATTGCATTCATTTTTGATTTATTTGTAGACACTCAGCTCTAATGCTACGTATAAGTTTTCTGCCCTAGATTTCATTTCAGACTACATTTCTTACTTTCTGTAATGTCTTGAAACAGAATGATTTATCAAAGTTGACTTAAAACTGAATGCCGATTACTGCTAGTGATACGACTGCGAAATATTTCTAACTACCGCTGATTGCATCAGAACGAGACTCCTTTGTCGACTCAAGAAAGAAAACAAGGTTAGAAGCAGACTACTTTATTCACCAACCACTTATGATATGACATCCAAACTAATAAATTATACATTTTAAATGTTTGGTCAGTCAATAATTTCGGATGAATCGAACTATTAGTAGTTAATCAGTAATTTAATATGTGTATAGCACTTGCAAAATAAATAAATAAATAATATATTTCATCACTGGATTATATATTTGTTCTATTCCTGACACCTCCCAAAAGAATGAAGTTTCTTTTTGTTTTCGCTCTAACTTTTGTTGTTTGATAAGTGTTTGATTAGGAAATCAACTTGTAAAGTTGTATTCTTCCAAAGTGTGGCTTTTGAGTTCCTCGTTATGTATTATTTCTCTGGTAACATTCATAACTTGGGATTCCACTGCAATTCTCTTCGACTGGTTCTCGATCTCATTACGACCATCTGACTAACCAAAAACTGGCATCCGCTACTTCCGAGTACTGCTTGACGATCGAAATCATGATGTAACTTGTTGTCTTAATCTCTGTAGCCATATTGTCTCGGTCTTCTTTGGTCTGGACTATGATTGTCGAAGTCATGATATCGATTGAGCTGAGTATAACGGCCCTAACGAAAACATCTTGTTTTTTACCTTCCATCTTTCTAGGACCGTTTACATTAATTGCCAACTCGGGTAGTGTTTCTATCTTCCCATTCTTAGCTGTGGTTTACTCATCTTCGAATAACATCGATGGTGGCTTTGTTACTGTAGGGGATTCTGACATCTGAGAAGCAATTTTCATGACTTTGGTCTCGAATTCCACCTCACCATTGGTTATCGTATCAACCTTTATTCCAGAAAACTCCGAAATATTTTGATTATATACTTACAGAGGAATATTTAATAATTGCGAACATCGGCTGTGTACTGATCCAGTCAAGTCCAAGTGTGCTCAAGTTAGCTTCGGTAATATAACATGGTTTTGCTGTAGTTCCATCCTGATATATAACGTTCCACTGTAGTAGTCCTTTAAGATGCAATATTCCACTAGTCACGTTTTCAAGTCCGAAATGTTTTCTGGAATTCTGCTTTTCCTAGACATCTCCATAGTTTGGTTGGTATTATAGTAATATAACATGTTGTATCTGACTGTAGCCTTGTAGGATATTCATCTATTTGTAAAGGTATATTTATTCTTTTAGCTTTACCTGTAACCGAATGTTGCGGGTAGGCTTCTTAAATTCAATGACGCTTGACATAGAGGAATTTTCTCCGTCTTGCTGTAGATCTAATTATTCTAGGGCGCAATTGGTAACAGTTTTCTATACGTCCGATCTTATGGCATTGATAACAGCGACGTTTCCTGAAATGACAATTAGGCGAAATACCATCTTATCACTGCCAACAAATTGAAGAGAGCATTTCCTTGCTACTGGCTTGAGAACATCGATTGGGTGTTTGTTTTTTGACGCTTTCATTTCATGTACTCCACCGGACTGTTCCGGTTGCGGAAGCATTGCAGTATCATATCTAAGGTTTATTAACCGTTGACATTATTCACTAACTATTTGTATTATCAATTTTACTCAGAAAATGTGTATGGATATGTGCATCTTTTGAGGATTATAGACCGCAGATAAAATTAAGACATTTAAATTGGTCATCTGAGACGGATTGTAATTTGAAGCGTTTGTATTTTCAGTTTCTCCCTTTTTGTTGATATGAGGTATGGTAACTTAAAATGATAAGGATGTTTGATATGTCATAGGTTGTCTACGACTGCCTGACAGTGTATTCCACATTACTGTTAGTTGTATTGACGACCTTAGGTTTTTAAAGTTGGTTGAGTAATATAATTTTTGACTACATATAGTGTTTTTACAAATATGTTAATTCTTTTTAATTGTTATTTAAGCCCATGAGATTTCCAAGCAAGGGCCCAAAGAAGTTTTGCCTTGCCATACTGATACAAAGCCTACAATGCCTCAGAACAAATGGCGACGTTTTCTGTGTTGTTTTCCTGATAAAGCTTGTCGTTCACTACCGTCGAAACAAAAGGATTCCTCTTCCGTTAAAGGAACATTGTCCTCAAAGTCTCCATCTCCTAGTGACGGCAAATCTAACTTCAATGAAGTAAATGATCTTGTAAATAAAATGTCAACCAAACCGGCAAAGTCTGGAAGCAAGAAGCGCTCCAGAAAATCGAAGGGTTTGTCAGTTGACGATGCACCCGGATGTAAAGCTGACCAATTAGCGCCCCCATCATCTACCGAAGAAGTACCCATACCTACTGTATCAATTTTCCAACCTGTTCTCCCAAGTACGGTGTTGAATGCTTTAGGATCAAAAGCTGATAGCTCTATTCATTCGGCTTCAGTATCAAATGGTTACAGTTTCAGCGATCCTGATGTTCGTGTAGAGTCGACGGTCTTGCGGTCGACTGTCGAAATAAATGTCAACACATCTAAGTCGCACTATCCTTTTCAATTGACAGCCTTAAAACGTCACACATCTAATGATGCATACGGCATAAAGATTACTGATAACACTGAATGTCAGAGTCCTACTACACAGGTAGGAAATACTAATGGTTTTGAGTCTGCACATCACGTGATTCACCAACAGTTACAGCCTTTGCATTCACCTTGGGTTGAGTGTGAAAACTCTGATGGTAATCATTTTGCTCCGAACAGCTGTCCTCATGACCAATATTCTATCAATTACGATAGAAATAGTGGACAAGGTGATGCTTCTTCTGAAAATCTTGACCATGTAAGTTCGAAATTGAAAAAAAAATACATCTAGCTTTAATTGACCCATAAGTTTAAATTCTAAATTGCTAAAATCTCAACAAAACCCGCTTCTGATAAAAATACATCATTTTATTTAGAGTGAAATTATACACATACATTTTGGTTTGAACCTTCCGAACCCCGATTAGCTTGATTTTATTCTGTTAGATAATGTATTAATAATTTTTATGTGTAATTTAGCACGCCACTCCAATAAATTGAGGATCTTGCTTCTGAACTACCCGAATGTTTCATCAGCGTTCTTAATATCGGTTCGAGTCATCGTTCAATGACACAAAAGTTCTCCACCTTAGTGTTTTAACATCGTTCCCCTACATGTCTTACCAAAAGTTGCCGAAAAAATATTATCAGCAAATATGTTTTATAACTCCTATTCTTTAGTCCTTGGACAAGTAGTGGTTCCGAAGGCAAATAAATCATTACCTATGTGCACTGACTCACCTGCTTTTAAAGTGCTTTTATTCACAGATAGTTTGCTTATTATCCCAGACTTGTTACATTCTTTTTCTAAACTATATCTTAATGATGCCTGTCTTCAAATGAAAGTGATTCTTAAATACTAACTACTTGATATAAAAACTGCCCCATCTGTCTTAATAACTAATAGATACGACTGTAAGATTCATAGAGTTACCTCTTACCTAGATTATATAACAGTTGTCGCCAGTTCTCGAAAATGCTATTATAGCAGACTACAATGTGTACTACAAGAAATCTACCATGAGGGTTTTGGTTTTGTCCAATAAAATTCTATCCTTTTGATCAGTAAAGTAGCTTGATATCTGTCAGCCTGATCCAGAAAATATTCGTTCTTCACGACGTGTTCATCTTCAAAGACATTTACTTGTCAGTAGTATCTTGAGCCCAATGGAGACGGTCCAAACTTCTTGCCTTAGGTGCACTGTATCCAATCTCTCTTCTGTTTGGTAGGGATGTGCTTTTGAGCTTCAACAATTGTGAGCCCGCCACATATAAACTGAGTTGGAAACTCGAACATCGATTCCAACAAGGGGACATGCTGTTTTTGCTTTTTGTCACTCATTTGTTCCATGAATTCGTTTATGGTTGGAGATTCACATGATTGAATGATTAAGAGCTATTTCCTATTGTATTCGGGTTTGAATATGGGACTCATACAGACTAAGTCGTCTTTGACTGTCAACTCTAAAGTTATCGGGTTTCGAAAGCGCCTCATTCAAGACTGGTCAAATGAATATATTAGAAGTTATGCAGAAGCCTCAGGTAAAGATATATTAAAATTTAGTCGTGTTGATAAGCATTAAGTAAACTTCACCTCATGTTTTGATAAGTGGATAGTTGAAAGAGTTCACCTCAAATAATTACATTGTTATAAATTAAGAACTATCAATTCGTGAGGATTTCATTTTTATTATTGAATTATTTTGATTCAGCATTCATATATTATCAAGACTAGCGAAAAATCCCTAAATCCGTTTATTTTCTTTTTCAGTTACCACCGGGAATAGATCTATTGGGTGAAGTTGATTCAGACTGTGTGAATAAAAAGTGCTTAGTTTTGGACTTGGATGAGACATTGGTGCATAGTTCCTTCAAAGTAAGCCTTATTTCATTCAATTAATCTCGTAAATACTTTTTTCCTGATAAATTATTACCGTTGTTCATGATTCACTTTAGTTAAGTAAATAGTTTTGAGAGTATTTAAAGTAGATAGATTGTTGTCAGCGATGGAATCTATGAGGTGTGTTCCGTTTGTTTTTATATATTAATTTATCTAAAATACAAACTAATACAAATGAATCATAAGTTTTCTCACTGAACACTTCTAATAACCTCAGGGTAAATCTACACGGTAACTTAAACACATGAGAAAATTCGCGAAGATTGACGATAAGGATTTATTTTACTCTCAAAATTAATCGAAATGATTTAAGAATACCTCACATTTTATATGATTTATTTACAGTTAGATTAAAGTCAGATTTGTATAAATCGAACTGAGTTGTATTTAGCAATAGTAATTCAATAACTTACTGTGCGAACGCATATTTACAATATCATACAATTAATCATCTATAATCCTTCTTAAGATGTGATAAATGCGCACACGATTGAAAAAAAAATCAATTTCATATGTCATTCGCATTCCAAATGATTAAGCTATTACTCGCCACATCAATGGATACTAAAAGAAATATGTCACATAAATAAGGAAATGAAATTGCAAAAAGATAGAGAAAGGAAGGAGACTATAATCAAAATAAATAAACGAATATAAATAAGTGAACGATAATGGTTTGTAGTAAGAGAAACAACAGTCTTTTTGGTTAAAGTTTTCATTTTTATGAAGAACGTCAGCACCGTCATTGGTTTCTGTTCTGAGCCGTGTCTGAAAACATATCAAGCCAGTAAGTTGCACTATTTCTAGGATCCCAACCATGTCAGTCATGTATAGCTTTCTTTCATATTCCAGCACCACATCATGCAGCGGCTACTTCTTCGCTTCTTCCAACCAGTCTCAGCATCGTGACAATAATACGTACAAATATAGTCTTGAATACTTTAAAAATACCTGTCTTGGGCAACCAGTAGCTAGTAGCCTCCGGTAATGTACTCGTCATGGAATCAATATGCCATACTAATTTTCACGTTCCTAAACCATCAACTTAACCTCAAGAAATTGAAATGAGTGATCACCAGTACCTTCCATTAATTTACTTTCTTACATTTTCTTCAAATAAATATTATGGTCATTTTGATTTGTTTGGAAAATGATTTTAGTTTATAAAGTAAACTTTTCCGGCATAGTATATCTTTTGTTTACCTTACTTTTTGCTTTGTAATCGATCTATCTTTAGAAAGTGTGCGAGAATCTTTTTGATTGGTACTATCTAGTTAGTTTATATTTGTCACTGTTTATCAATTGTATTTAGTTGATGTTTGTTTACATTCGCCCGTATATGTGCGCACTTTAGTAGGCGACTGTCTGTATAGTTTCATATCTGTGTGCGATAAAATTCAGAGCCGTGTGACTTCACTAGGATATTATTTCGAATGCTTTTATGTACCAAAAATTATATCATAAAATTCAGGTTTTACGATACCAAGTGCTTCAGTAACAACCATATTTTATTCTGAAATGAATTTTAACTACTGTTTGACAAACTATTTATATCATAAGGTTTAAAACCAGGTTATTAAGTATTTTTCTCAATAAAAAATGCCACAATAGTATCTGCGATCCACAACACTTTGATCTCATGGTAATAATGTTTGTATTCAAAAAAAAATGTCAACCAAGTATACTGCTTAAAAAAATATCTAATCAAACCCTTGATAGGTAGAAAAGTTCATGACAAGCTTCTATCAGAATCCGTCGCAAATATGCGACGTCAAATAAAAAGCTAAAGTTGCAATATTGTATAACAATATAAAAATAGTTAACAGAAGTGTGAACTTTAAAACATATAGTGTTAATAAGGTCACTAAACGATCTGATGGGTTTTCCATTTGAAGATTCCCAAGATTTAGTGGGAAATAATCAATAAATATCTCTGTGCCACTTTGAATAGTGTTCTAGAATATTCACTTAGCATGGGTGACAATAATTAATTACATTTATTTGTTAGAGCTTCTACATTATGAACAACGTATCAGAAATCCGAGCGTCTATTGCTTACTTTACTATTAACATTGGATTTTTAAGCAAACTGTACGAAAGAAACTTTCTAAATACCTGGCATATTTGCAGTGTTTGTACCATAAAAGTGATTAAAAGTCAGTCGTAGGGGGCAAGCTTTAAAACGATTAATTTCTGGTGAATTAGGTCAAAGTTATGTTCTTGTTTTCCAGACTTGTTTTTATCATTAGTGTGGAGTTCCTTGAGTCCGGCGCTTTACTTATGTCGAATTGTTTAAGCACTTACGAGAGTTTATCATAAGCGTACATAAGTTCTGGGAAAAATTAACCGTATGAGAATAGTTATTTTTCTCCATACTTTCTGAATTGTCTGTCACTATTCACCAGATCTCTTACTAAGCTTCATAAGGGACCCGGTCATTTCATTGTATACATATTAGTTTTAGCCTATTTGTTGAAATCCGGTGACATTCTTTTCTAACTTTATGTAGTTAGTAATGTGAAGTATATTCATGTGTGTTTACGAAGTAATATAATGACAAATCAAGAGACCTATGCTTAGATAATTAATAGAATGGATTTATCACAAATATCAAGAAATATATTAAATGTAAAAATAGTTTTTTTTGGTTATAAACAAAATGTTAAGATATGCGTTCACCCTAATCAAATCCATTTCTTCAACAGTATATAGTATTGTTCGTTTTAATTAGATCTGAACAGATATGAGAAATTCGTTGTCTCGGTTCAACATTTTTGTTCTTTAACTCTTATGTATTCTGGGTTATTAGAATAGTTTGGAATTTAGAACTTTTGTCATGTATTTATAACTGTTTATGTCTACAAGATTCATATACTTCAAATATTTTTTTCATATTCCAGTATGTAGAAAACGCAGATTTTGTTGTTCCCGTGGAAATCAATGGCACTATTCAACAAGTTAGTTAAATTGTACTTTTGAGACATGTGATAATTAATTTGATTTAGTTTATCTTCATTCACACTTAATTTATCCAAATTTATTGTATAAAAACCCCTATGCATCATCTGACAAATAACAGTTAGACAAAGAATTTTTTAGACGTTATCATTTACAGTCGTATTTATAATAATTTCAGATATTGTAGTCTACTGTTTCTGACTATCCTTCGACTATTACGTAATTTGTATTTGATACTTGGAATTTTTGGTCGACCTTCGATGACGTTAATGACCCAACACCCTCCTATTTTATAGACCCCTATGTATAAAATACGATCATACTGCCTTAGTAAATGACATTGTTAGAAAAAAGACCTTCTTTGCTGAACTAAAGTTATTACTTAGGTAGATTCATTCTGTAGGGTTTATCTCTGTGACTTTCTCTTACAACGTGATTGCTTGGTATAAAGTCGAAAACATCTTATATTGTGAAATGTCACATGGTTTCTTGTAGATTATTTTGCAACTACCAGGTTTACTAACTAAATAATCGTTCAGGTTATGGATGTGTAATAGATTGCTAGCTGACTGCTGAAAATAAATGATCTATTTGTATAATACTTCCTATCGTGTCTCATCATACACGTTTATGGACATTCCCAATCAATTAGTTGAACAGAAACTATTAAAACTAAAGCATAAATCCTCAATAGGAGTATGGTAATCTTCATTATAGGGTCTTGGGTAAGAAGTTACTTATAAAGAAATAAATGTTTTACATGGCTACTCTCGTTAGTTTCACAGTATTACTTTGAGTGAGATGAAATAATTCGCAATTTGCTGATGTATGTGGGATGTGTGGTGAGTAATTTAATGATCAGACACAAAGCTAATTCTTTCGGCTCTACCATTCCAGACAGGTCGATTAGATATCGATTGGAAAATAAACAGCAAGCACATTGTTTGAGCTAGGCTCTATTGTCGACTGAATTGTCATATGGTAATAGATAGACAGAAGACAAACTGGGAAAGTTGGTTCTAAAAATATGATGTGGTTTGTAAAGTATAAACTAGCACTAGGAAAATAACCGAACTTCAGCAACTGTCCTGTGGTTGACAGTACCTTAAATACCAAACCAGTTGCTTTGTCGAGCCCTTCGAGACTACTTTTATTCACAATTCGGTCAACGGGGAGGTGTTTACCGTTGGCTTTAACTAAGAACACTAATCAATACTGCTCATAATCAGGCTATTTACTCAACTTATATTTTTTTCTTACTAGTCCTACACTAGTTCCATATGTTTTCTCATTTGCAACTCTGTGTTTACAACATGGTAACCTTGGTCTGAAACCTTACCCCGAACAACGTGTATCATTCAGTGTTCGGATTGTATGTACTGTATCTCGAACCATCATGCAAGACTGAAATTTGATTCACTTAACCTTACTAAGACCAATATATTTGGCTCAGTCAGTCATCTACAACGTAGGACCAGGCACACATATACATTGGTCCAGGTTACCATACCTCATTAGCACAACAAGATGAACACCACCACTGTGTATTTGGCTATCAGAAGTCGGTTGTCACATGTCTAGAGACCCGTTAGGGGCTTGTCGCGTTCTTGCTGATGTAAGTGTGGTACCGAGTTCTGAAGCAGAGCCATCATTCATGAACAGAATCTCAGCTGATAGTTACATTTTGTTTTATTGAACGGGAATGTGAGTACTTAAAAAACAAATACACACGTAGCCTCTTATTCTCTACCTACGCTCTTGCTGACTTCAGCTAGAATGAAGTAAAAGACGAATCCTACCAGAGCCTTTCTAACCTTCAAATGTAGTAATTGTGACAGGCGATTTCGACTCATAAAAAGATAAGCTAAGCCAAACTAAAATACACTGTAGAAATCTTCAGATTAACATAACCCCTTGTTGCAATCATCCTTAAACAACCTTTTATTGTCAATAAGTGTCAGTCATAAACGTACATCGAAAGACATTATTTTACCTGGTGATTCGCAATATTGATGCAATGCTGAATACGGTTAAATAATATCCCTATTAGTCGTTTTTGAGGACTTCAGCAGATTTTCGATGCTGTGAGTATTTCAACATAATATCTTCTCGTCCTTTGTTGCCATTATAATGACGTTCAACTCAAATTAAATCGATTTTCCAGAATATTTATTTGCTTGTAATTTTTAGACTTCACCTCCGATGTCATTCTAACTTCATAGGTACGATCGTTAAGTAGTATTAATCTAAACGGCCATTTTATGCTATTCAGTGATCAAAGCCTACTTATTTTCTAATCTACAGTGGCGGTTGAATCTGAATTTAATTACCTTTTCACTGTTCACTGTTCTTAGTTTTCGTGGTTGCGTTCGGTGTGTGGGTTTCAATAACATACTCAGTCATCAGTGGTTATGTTTAGGACTATTCTGAAGATCTGACACTAAATTTAAACTTTCTAATCATTTTTGTGCTTGAGTTAAATAGAGCGTGTACTCAGTTTGCTATTTAATGGAAATGATCAAAAAGTGATGACAGTTTATTCAATATGTGAAACATGTCACTGAATTTTATATACACTTCAGTTATTCGCTTAAATTAATAATTTCAAAGGCCTTAGGTGTCAGTTACTCTTGAATTTTCGTTTGCTACAATTGTTTACCTACAATTATAAATTTCCTATCTAAAGAAGCTGTTCATTCGACTTGCGGAATACAGTGTGACGAGTACCTATTGATTTTAAATGGTGTCCAAATTGATCATTTGATTTTTTCACAAAACCAGCATTCGTTTCAATAATGTGTCTGTTTGAATTTCTCTGTGCTAAATTTGCTCACGTGATTATGAGTGAATTTTCTCTTGTTGTTGAATCAATATATGAGACTAGCACAGTTACACATGCAATCAAGCGTTCTCTGTTTGTAATTTTCTATTCGTACTATGTGTATCAACCAACCTATGAAACGTAGCCTATACCACACAATTTGACAAACTACGGGTTGGTGTGCCTCAAATGACTCATTATTTGTTTTCTTGATAATTTGATTTTCGTTGATAAAAGTGAATGCAATCTAAGTTGTAAAGCGCATATTATTCCTCTTATTTTTTTCGTTCAGTCACACCGATTTCGTTAAATCTATTATTCTAGACAGGACTTTTACTGATCATTGATAGGGCCCCACATATTCAGTTTTAAAATTCTAGCATACTTGTTTAATATACTGTAGCTTTCCTTGGATTGTGTAAAGAATCTTTTAGCAGCTTTATCCTTTTGGTTCACGCTACTCTTACTTAGATAATACATTGCATGATTTAGGCCAAATAAGCTAGAGGACACCTATTTACACGTATGTTTTACGTGATTAGGTGAATGGTGTAAGCGAACACAAAAAGTGATCAGATCAAACCATATCATTCTGTCACTTAGCTATAGATTGTTGATTTTAGTTGGATACAGAGCTGTAATTGTGTATTTATTATCTTTAACGCAGCTGAAACCAATTTTTGGTAACTTATGTTGGTTCCAGTTTTCATGACAGCTTTATAGGTGTAAGTGCAAGCTACTTGGTTGGAGTCTGCTCGATTATCGTGACCAGTCATTAGATACATGGCTTAAATACATTCACTCTTATATTGCTTTAGATCTTGAGTTTCAGAATAATATTCACTTTATTCCTCAAATTCATCCAATCATCTCGAATCGTAATGTTTATACGTAGTGTTTTTTGCTGTCGCTGATACTACTCTGGCATTCATCCTGGTAACCTTATTTCACTGTGCTGGTGTTGTGTGGCAACTTGAAAAATGTATATATGTCCCAGGTTCTACGTTGGTGAAGGAAATAAATTGGATAAGTCAAGTAATACTGTCTCTAGTTTAGGCTTCAATTCTCGTTTTATTCATGAAATCTCTTTTATATCTTTATCTATCTCATTGTATTGGGTACTTTGTGTGTTAATATTTTTAACTTTGGTTTGATAACCATTCCATCGAATTGCTTGGACCGATGCATATATGTGCCTGCTCCTACGTTGTAACTAACTGACTGACTTTCTAATTTACCTCAGATTCTAAAGAATTCACTAGATGTTCTTCCAAACATTTACGAATTACTAGTATTTTGATTGTATCATGAAAGGAAATGTATTAATTTTTGTTTAATCTTGTCAAATAGCGTTGTTTAATTTTTGTCATTCTTTTCAGGTGTATGTCCGAAAAAGACCATATCTTGATAAGTTTCTTAAAGCTATTGGGCCACTTTTTGAGTGCGTTATGTTCACAGCAAGTCTTCGCAAGGTTAGTTATATATATATATATATATATATATATATATATATATATATATATTGTTTCATTTGTTCCACTTCCCTTTATGCTTTTACGTAATTTCTGTTCTTCATGAAAGTTTCATCTTCCGATTGTTACACAATAAAACGGTGACCATTTTAGCCTCGTTTATCGTTCACGTAAAATTGAACATCCTATATGATCTAAAGATTTTGGCACTTGGAATTTCCTCTGGTTTCCGCAGAGTAACAAGAGGATTGGATTAACTTTTGACAGTGTTTATTCTTATAGCATAATACAAGTTATATCAGCGGTACATTTTTGTTATAATCTCTCTTATTACTACCCGTTTACTCTTATTTCTTAATACTATTCTGACTGTTATATCCCGATGAGAATAATGAATGGTAACTGTTGGAATCTATTTCTGGACTAACACTATACATATTTTTTTACAGTATGGTTGTTAAGTAACCAAATTATTCATATTCGTGTTCCTCTTATAAGCTTTATTTTGACCTATGAACAATTATTATACGATTTACCATTCTTGAGTTATGCCCAGTCTATCAATTACTATCTCTCACATTCACAGCCACTTTCGGCTAGATCTTGCACAAATGTTATTCTCTATTTTATGATACGATGTGGTCTGTTTGGTTTGTATATAAACCCAGTATGTTTGAAATACCTTATTCATATCGTGGAGGCTGAGATTGGTGTTATGAACTTAATAGGCAGGGCTATGCAGGAAGTAGGACCGCTAGAGATTCTAGACTGCTCGTTTTACGCGTCATTGGTCCGGTCGATAAATCATTGTCCGCTAATTGGTAGTATGATTGCGTTTTAGATTAGTAGGGCACATGACCACAAGTTATAACAGTGACACTTTACTTCACTAAACAAGTCCCCAAATCAGACTACGATTGGACAGGAAAGTAGTTTTATTTCAAATAAACAAGGTTGAATGGGAGTAAAAATCACAATAAAAAGATCGTTAGTATACTTATAATTTTACACAAAAGGATCCTAGAGTCTTCTCCAAATATCCACTAGCGCAGGTTAGGTAAGAATTTGCCAGTCAGTGTCCCAGGGCAATCCTGCACAGAACATGCAGGACATAACAAATGTAAACATTATGAAAATAGGGGTGTTTTTTGTCCCTAGTCCCCTCCCAACAACAATTAACGCTTAAATGGTGTGTGTAACTGGCAAAATCCCAATGATAGCAAACTTAATATATATATATATATATATATATATATATATATATATATATATATATATATATATATACTGTGAAAATATGTTGTACGTTCTGTGTTACTGAACTTGTATTTGAAACTTGAATATTTTATGGACATTGTATGTTAAAGCCTCGTTCACTTCCTATTTGTTTATAGTTTCTTTTGTCATTTTTTCGTTGTAAATAACACTTTAAGCATAAAAATCATTTGAGACTGTAAAAATGGAATGTAATTACTATTAAGGGTACTCTGAGTACAATATATAATTAACACTCCAATGAAAATTGAATATGCGAAACATTTAAATCAGTCGCTCGCAGAATAATCTTGTAGAGTATGACCCATTTTTAGTTACAAATGTTTAGTTGTACTCCCTAAATTCGATTCTTTTTTTTTATATCCGACAAATAGCTTGTCATTGTATGTTGATTGAATGTGTTTTGCATAAATAGTACTTTATTTGTTTGATTGTGATATACTCAGTTTAACAACGGTTTTATCTTATTTTGATTCTTCCAGATAGATTTGGAACTTCAGTTCTCTAATGCGAATATTTTTCCAGTCATGTAGTCATTTAATCAACACTGACTCTAGACTTCCATTAAGCTATCTGTTACACCATAATAAGTAAAGTATCATCAAAGTGCCACGGAAGTTGTTCCATTTCTTACCTATAAACTTTGTTTTGTTTATTTTATCTGATGTATCTATCTACTGCTTTCGTTTTTGTCGATCATTTGTTTCCGACCTCATTCAAATATATCTCTTTCATGTTTTGACACAATTTGACATCTTATCTCTAAGCGTTTTATTGTACTAAATGGACCAGTAATTACAGTGATTTATAAGTAGTATATGTAATTATATATGCGGATAATTACATTTTTAGCATAAATATTTTTTCATGGTTTTAGTGTTTTGTATTTTGTATGGTTGTCTCCTTAAATTTTTCTTGTTTATTTGTAGTGTTTTTTAAGGATTCGCTTTGTGTATAAATACGTTATCATTTATCCATTTTTGTATACATTATTTTTACCTTTCGCAAAATGTCAATCATTACTTTCATAGTATACTTCAAGAGCCATAAAAAGTCGGTTATCGTGTATATACATACCATAAATTGCTCATTTTTATTACTTCCAGTTACGTATGAACTAAAATTTTTCGCACTCTTCTATTTTAGTATGCTGATCCTGTTTGTGATTACATTGATGCCTCGTCGTATTTTCGTCATCGCTTATTTCGCGAGGCATGTGTTGATCATCAGTGCAATTTAATTAAGGATTTGAGTCGTTTGGGAAGAGATGTGGAACAAATATGCATCGTTGACAATTCTCCAATATCATTTTTATTTCAACCAAGTAATGCAGTAAGTGTCATTTGACTGTCACCTTCAATTACTAGCAAACTTACATTTTTCAAAGAGCTTTTTTCATCTCATTTATACTCAATATAAATATAGAATTAGTTTGTGTCATTATACACTACTGATATATGTTTTTATTTAGTTGCCATTTTACTCATCTACCTCTAAAAACACTCGACTAAACTGTTAATCACCACTGGGTTATGGGTTGAAAAAGAACGTCTTTTCATTCTACATAAGTTTGTGCTGCCAGTAGTTGTCACACAATAGCTTAGATATTCTCTTCGTACTTATACCTGTAGATGTCAGTTATCTGTTTATTACGGTACGATCGCGTTAGTCGTTCTATATTTTACAAGTTCTTGTTTTGGTTGTTATATATGCATATGTCGTAAAGTTTGTTCTTTTCTGAAAACTTATTTGAACATTGTATTTCAAGTTAGTGTACATAATAACTTATCCAGGTTAATTGATTCCAGAAACGTCCATCTCAGCTGTCCTCGTTTCTGATTTTTACCTCCAAAAAAGTTGTTTGTACAGATCTATCTTTTGCTTAATGACTCATCGATCAGGAACGTTATAAATCAGTCAGTCAGTCAGTCAGCTAGAACGTAGGACCAGGCACATACATGCATCGGTCCATGTTTCCATACCGCATTAGCACAACAAGATGAACACCAAATTCATTGAAGTAGTTAATTCAGTGGTGGTAATATATAGAAGGAAAATTGCATATAAAGAGATAGTACAGGAAGATAGAATTAGTTTCTAGAAAGAAAGATTTGAAGTGATTTTAATCTCTTAGTTTAAAGGAAGACAGAGAGTGTATACACCGACGCCATTGTGATCGATTCTGAGCCATGTCACCAAGAGTCTCCAACCATTGGTTACGATAGTCACGCGGACCCCAACCAAGTAGTCTGAATCTTCCAACATGGCTCAGACCAGAAGTTAGTGACTTCAAGCACTGATGCCACGTTTTGGTTTGGCCGCCCCTAACTTTCTTCCAATCATCCCTAACACCGGTTACCATTGCGCGTCGTGGTAATCGGTGTTCAGGCATACGCAACACGTGGCCCAACCATCTCAGTCGATGAAGGTTCATAACCTCATCAACTGACTTACCATCATTCCCTAATACCCTGCGTCTAACCTCACTGTTACTTACCCGGTGATCCCAGCAGATACCCGCAATATTTCTAAGGCATCTGTGGTCAAATACTAGTAACTTACGAATATCTTCTACTCTTAAAGGCCAAGTTTCGCAGCCGTATAGTAGAACGGAACGAACTGCCGCGCAGTATACTCGTCCCTTAATTGATAGACGGATATCTCGCCTTCGCCATAGATGACGTAAGTTGGCAAAGGCCAAGCGAGCTTTTCGAATCCGTGCTGAGATTTCGTCAGACACCAACCCATTAGGGCTGATCAGACTTCCAAGATAAGTGAGGTTGTCAACGCGTTCGATTACTTCACTCCCTATCCTTAGTTCAGGTGTTGACGCAGACCAGTCCTGAAGCAACAACTTGCATTTAGAGGGAGAGAAGCGCATCCCAAACATTCTGGCATTTTTGCTCAGTGCTACGAAAAGACTCTGCATCTCATCAGCGTCTTCACCAAACAGGACTATGTCATCTGCGTATTCTAAGTCGATAAGTGGACCTCCTGGTAGGAGATCAATGTCCGGAAATTCAGTCGATGAAAGCGTTATTTCCATCAGTAGATCTATGATGAAGTTGAACAAAAATGGAGAAAGTGGCAGCCTTGGCGGACGCCACTTGATGTTGCAAAAGCAGATGACAGTTCGCCATAAGCTCTGACCCGATTAGTAGTGTTTGAGTAAAGAGCCTTCACAAGGTTTATGTACTTCTGAGGTACACCTTTCAATGACAGACAGTGCCACAGAACATCTCGGTCAATAGAGTCAAACGCTGCTTTTAAGTCAAGGAAGATCACCATTGTCGGACGCCGATAAGTATGCCTGTGTTCTAGAACCTGACGAATGGTGAATATGTAGTCGATGCATCCATGACCAGGTCTGAAGCCAGCCTGATTTTCACGTGTTTGCAGTTCACGAGTCTTAGTTAGGCGTCCGAAAATTATCGAGGCTAGTATTTTAGATACTATATTAGTCAAACTAATCCCTCTGTGGTTGTCACAGGATGATTTTGACCCTTTCTTAAATATTGGGACGATAAGTGATTGTGACCAGTTAGATGGGATAACGTCTAACTCCCAGATTTTAGCTAAAATATTAGTCAACTTAGTCGCTGGAATTGGACCACCATCCTTAAAGACCTCTGGGGCCAATCCATCTGGACCAGCTGCCCTTCCTCGTTTCAGATTAACTATGGCCTTTTGAGCTTCAGCTAGAGTTGAGGGACCTACTTCAATGTTCCATTCATACTGTCTGGGAATGGAGGGTAGTTATAGAGTAGCTGAAGGCCAAATGAACTGCTCCTTAAAGTATTCCGCCAATCGTTCTAAATGTCTGGACTGGGAGCAGATGAGAGTGTTGTTTTTTTCTGAAATAGTCTGACTTACACTTGATTTATTAATTCCAGTTTCTTTTATTAGTCTGTAGAGTTGTCTTGTGTTCCATATAGCCGCCGCCTTTTCCATCTCTTTTGCTTTCGTTCCCCACCACTGCTCACGATCGTTCCTTAGACTTTTGCTTAACCTAGATCTGATGTCTTTATGCTCTTCATCGTATTCAGAACCTGATGGGATATGTTTGCGAGAATCCATCAGTGCAATAGACCTTGAAGAAATTCATTGGTTCTTTGAAACCCTGTGGTTTAAATCACTGGTAGATGTCACTGCTGTTTCCACAGCTGCTTGTATAACTTTCCAAGCAACATCTGGGTCAGCCTTGTTTTCAGAATTACCTAAGTGTGACCTCAGTTGTTCCTGGAACCTACTTTTGGCTTTCTCATTACTCGATCCGGTTCTAATGAGTCTTTTTTGTGTGGCTCTTTTGCGTCCAGTGAGGCGCAAGCAGATGCGTGCTCGTATTAGGGCATGGTCGGAGTCCAAGCAGGTACTCCAGAATGAGCGACAATCTTCTATTGACCCTCTCCAACGATGACTGATGGCAATATGGTCTATTTGAGTCCATCGTTGGGTTGGTGCAGGGGGTCGCCATGTTAGACAACGTCTCTCCTTATGCTTAAAATTTGTGTTTGCTAAAAATAAACGATTGTCTGAGCACAGTTGCAGCAGACGATCACCATTATCTGTTCTCTGTGCCGGAATACTAAAATGCCCACCTAAATGTCTTTCTGTTTCGTTTAAGGTACCTACCTGGGCATTAAAGTCGGCTCCTACGAGTACTATGTCTGAACGTTTAGCTTTCTGAAGAAGTTCAGACAGCTTTCTGTAAAATTCATCTTTCACTTCATCTGAACTGCAGTCAGTGGGAGCGTAGATAGAAACGACGAAAAGGCGACGACGGGTGTCCCTATCTTTCCGGGTTCTTACGGAGCCGTTTAACCGAACAGCGCATAGACGACTGTTAACGGGGATCAACTCTAATAGCGCTTGTTCCGCCCTCATGCTTAGTGCTATGCCTACACCTGCCAGTCCACGAGAACTAGCCATCGGGTCGCCAGATACACGGAGGGTGTATCTCGTCGGCTCTCCGTTTTGCCGAGGTGAGGTCAAGTGAGTGACCACGCTAGGATCCTGTATGCGTGTTTCGGAGACACAGCATACATCAATGGTACAAGATTCTAAGGTTTTAGCCAAGGAAGCCTGCTGACCGATTTGGCATAGTGTGCGTACATTGAAGGTTCCAATGTGTAGTTTCGAGCGAGGTTTCAGTAGACTTGGGACAGTCTTTTGAACACTAGAATCGTTGGCTGTGGTGACACTTGAGGAGGAAGTCAAAAGAGGAAGTTCTGATTTGCAAGTCGGTGTAGGAGGAATAATAGGAATTGAAGAGGTAGGTTGATTATGAATACAGTGGTCTTGAGTGCTGTTAGAGGTATGAGGGCAAATGTCAATTCCCGGTTGCCCACACCGTGGAAGGGTTCTGCTGGAGGTACCTGAAAAGAAAATTGGATTAGAGGTGGTCATAGTGACCTGAGAGCGTGATCGCAGTTCCCAAGGGACAGCTGCTTGAGGTCGGCCACACACGACCTTTTTATGAGTGAGTTTTGTGTTAGCTCCGTACTTGTTGAGACCTTACCACCGGAGACGGATATCCATGGGATAAGGTGAGGTGTGCATTTTTATGGTCGACCTTTTCTAACCCCACCCCTCCTTTTGGGAAGGCAGCATCGCTGTTATGCTGGTTGTCTGAAGGAAACACCTTACTGCTGTCACACCTCTGTACAGTCAGCAGTACGACTTCGCCTTCGGATCTTGGATTTGTTGCTTTTAGTCTTACCGCTCTTCAACCGACCTGTCTGGCATGGTAGGACCTTGAGGAACGGTTGTTCCAGCCAGTATAGCTCAGTTGCTTCATCACGATAGGCAAGCCCGACCACCACGTCAAGGTAGCAACAACGGTCAGGTCTCCAACCATCGGTTACGATAGTCACGCGGACCCCAACCAAGTAGTCTGAATCTTCCAACATGGCTCAGACCAGAAGTTATTGACTTGAAGCACTGATGCCATGTTTTGGTTTGGCCGCCCCTAACTTTCTTCCAATCATCCCTAACACCGGTTACCATTGCGCGTCGTTGTTATCGGTGTTCAGGCGTACGCAACACGTGGCCCAACCATCTCAGTCGATGAAGGTTCATAACCTCATCAACTGACTTACCATCATTCCCTAATACCCTTCAACTAACCTCACTATTACTTAACCGGAATGTTATAGGTTTGTTTGGTGATTGGATGGGTTGAACGTGGAATTTTAGATAGAAATGTCAAATCAATTTATTAAGCTCTAAATTCTGATTGAGCGAGATGATTGAGATATGTGTTAACCATGAATTCGCCGAAAATAGAGCTCTTTGCTGAACCAGTTCTCATGTCGCAATAGGTATGTTTTGATTATTGAAAGTTTTATTCTTTAAACAGATTTAAAATTTTGTTAAATATATAGTACTGTTTATTATCAATCGTAGAAAAATTAACATTAAATATATTAGCTATCCCTTTAAATTCCACAAGAGTGTAAACCAGTAACTATGACAGACTCGTAAACTAGATTAAACTGTATGGGGAATGTTACTTACATACTGTCCAGACGTTCTTTAGTGAAGTAAATCTACCTCTAACAATAATGAAGTAGTAATGTTGCATTTATTAGTATGTTTTCATCATTATTTTTTATATTATTTCATCTTTCAGCTCCAAATCGTTTCATGGTTCGGTGATTTAGCTGATCAAGCTTTATGTGAGCTGATACCTTATCTCACCGGTTTAGCTAGTGCACGCACGGTTGTTGATTATCTGAGAGAGTTCAGGCCGCCACAAAATGCAGCTGTTGCGCAACCAGCCACCCCTACATGGTTGTTGCTATTTAATCATAGTCTTCCTGGTGACATGAACACTTTAGAAGATAGTGAAGGTGGAGAACTTGAAGATGACGATATTGCTGTGAATTATCACGAAGAAGATGCTGTTCTGTCACCTCATTATTCTTTAAATCGTTTTTCTTAACTAGTTGTAACATCTGGCTACTTACACATTGATTTCAATTCAAAGCATTGGATTGGAAATTGTCAACGAATTGCTTACAACTAAACTTACAATAGTACACATTTTCTTCTCTATCAAGAATTTTTCTTTGTTCTAAATGCTCACAATTTAATACACATTAAAGTTTCTAATGCATATGCATTCCGTGATTTGAATGTGCATTATGGAAAAAGGCTCTTGCCTTTTTTACGTCTATTTTTTTACGGCTGTGCAAAAATGTAGCTTTAATTACATACATCTGAAAACTCGTTAAACTTCACTAAAATTACTCTGTTAAACACCTCTGTCTTCACTGTGAGTATTTTTTACTTTGATTACTTTGTTTTAAGGTATGATATTACACTCACTCACTGCCTTGTAAAGACTTTCTGCAGAAATTCTCATCATTTGTTTACTAAACAACCATCTTCTGTCTCGTTTTCATTTATTCTTTCTAAGTAAATTACCAGTCTGATAATGATGCTATGCAACTATTGTAAGTTAAATAGATGACATTTGTAATATATATATATATATATATATATATATATATATATATATATATATATATATATATATAATCAGAACGTAGGTGTTTTCATTGCTCTTCCAATTAGTTTCGCTAATTGTTGTAGATTTACTTCAAGTCTGTTTGATTTAATTATAAAGTTTCACTCTTGACAATATACTATGCCATTGATTCTCCTATAACGTATTTTCATCTTTTCTAAAAATCTGGAAGAATACAATTTTTTCGTGAAACTCAGGTCCATTGTTTTTTGGTTGTATAAAAATGTTTTCATACAAATTGTTTCTTAGTTTTTTTCTTTAGTATGCTCTTCATTTGTCCTCTTACACTGAGTTATTTGCTCGCTCGTTTTTCATATTCACTCTCTATATCCACTATAATCCTCATCTTTACTTTTATTCTCTACTGTAAAATCTACAGTTTTTGTCACTTGACTTGTTGCTCAATGTATACATCTATAATCAGTGTCTTCCTTTATTTTACTCCATTATTATAATCCGATTGTTTTTTTTAGTGCTCCCTCTTTCTTCTTCATTTATACATTTCTTCACCGAAGCGCCTTAAGTTCTTGCATAAATATTCAATATTCTGTTGAATCTTCATGATATATTAACCTACTATTTAAATAGGTCATCTGTAGAGTAAACCCGTTTCGTCCATACCCAGGTTTGGTTATTCCTAACTCCAAATAGTTTATTACCCATTCTTTTTTACATCACATAAGAATATATATATATATAGTCTGTGTTCTGTCTTCATTCTTTTTATTATTTAAAATATGTAAGCGTTTACTCTGATCGATCAACCAGTCTTTCAATATCGGACCTCAGTTTCCGATTGCAACTTGATTTTTCAAAACATTTTAGAACAGTCAGTGATTTTTGTACTCAGAAGTTGTCATCGAATGATTATCCTGGCTTTTCTTCTACGATTGTTACCTTTTTCACTATTTGGCTAAATTACTCGTCCTTTCTATCTGTCCTTAGCCTACAAGTTTAAAATATGTATTTATGTGTTCAGTTATAAAATGATATGAGCTTATATACCTCAGCGTACGAGATTTGCTCAATATTTGTGCTGTATGAAACTTAATGTTGGATAGAATTTGAATTGTGTAGTGTTTCTGGTTTATACCAGGTCATCTATAAATATTCATTTATGTGTTATTGTTGTCGTTCTTACTTTCTTGTTAATTAACAGAATAGGCAAATATTCCCCATTTCATAAAATTATTACTTTAAAACCAGCATGTCTTTTCTCCCCTCAATACTTTATTTGTTTTTATTAGATAATAACTTGAAATATAAAAGTAAAATTATTAATGTTTTTTTCCTAAATAAAGAAAGTACTTACTAACGCCTGTTACTCCTAATGGAGAATAGGCCGCCGACCAGCATTCTCCAACCCACTCTGTCCTGGGACTTCTTTTCTAGTTCCATCCAATTCTTGTTCATTTTTCTCATATCTATCTCCGTTTCTCGGCGTAATGTATTCTTTGCTCTTCCTCTCCTCCTTCCACCTCGGGGATTCCATGTGGGGGCTTGTCTTGTGACGCAGTTCGGTGATTTCCTCAATATGTGTCCTATCCACTTCCAGCACTTCTTCCTGATTTCTTCCTCCACTGGGATCTGGTTTGTTCTCTCCCACAGTAGGTTGTTGCTTATAGTGTCCGGCCAGCGGATCTGAAGTATTTTGCGTAGACAATTGTTAATAATCACATGTATTTTCTGGATGATGGATTTTGTAGTTTTCCAGGTTTGGAGTATCCTTGCAGTTGCCGCCACGTCTGCTTTCAGTGCCTCTGCTGGAATGCTGTCTAGTCCTGCTGCTTTGCCACTCTTGATTTGTCTGATAGCCATGCTGATTTCTTCAATTGTTGGTGTGCAAACATCGATTGGGAGGTCGGTGAGTGCTGCTTCGATGTTGGGTGGGTTCAGTGGGGCTGGTCGATTCAAGAGTTCTTTGAAGTGTTCTACCCACCTGTTTCGTTGTTCTTCAATGTTGGTGATTATCTTTCCTTCCTTGTTTTTCACTGGTCGTTCTGGTTTGCGGTGATTTCCAGAGAGTTTCTTTGTTGTTTCATACAGTTGTCTCATGTTTCCTTCTCTCGCAGCCTTTTCCGCCGTCAATGCCAAATCCTCCACATATTTACGTTTGTCATTTCTGATGCTCCTCTTCACTTGCTTGTTTACTTCTGTGTATTCAGCTTTTGCCTTGACTTTCTATGCTCTTGTTCGGCTGGTATTGATTGCTGCCTTCTTGTTCTTCCTCTCTTGAATCTTATCCAGTGTATCGACCGTGATCCAATCCTTGTGATGGTGCTTCTTGTGGTTCAGAACCTCATGACATGTTGAAGTGATTGCTTCTTTTATCTCTTTGCAGTTGCTCTCCATAGTAGTTCCCTCTCCATTGAGTAGATAATGAAAGGCCTGGATCTTATTGCTGAGGACTATCTTGAATTTGTTGAGTTTGTCAGTATTCCGAAGAAAAACCGTATTGAACTTTTGTGGTGTTGTCCGTCCCGTTGTCCAGTGCTTCTTGAGTTTCAATTTCATCTTGACGACCAGCAAGTGATGATCTGATGCTATATCGGCTACTCTCTTGGTTCTCACATCCTCCATCGTCCTCCTGAACTTTTTGTTGATGCAGATATGGTCAATTTGGTTTTGCGTAGTGTGATCGGGTGAAGTCCATGTGGTTTTGTGTATGCGTTTATGTGGGAATATAGTGCTGCCTATGACCAGTTTATTGAAGGCACATAGGTTTGCAAATCTCTCACCATTTTCGTTCCTTTCTCCCAGTCCGTGTCGTCCCACGATGTCTTCACATCTGGTGTTGTCCATTCCAACCTTGGCATTTAAATCTCCCATCAAAATGGTCAGGTCCTTTGTTGGGCACTTCTCGACGATTGACTGTAGCCTATCATATAATTGATCTTTAGCGTCTTCATTGTAGTCGTTGGTAGGCGCGTAGCATTGGATGACGTTTATTGAAATGCCCTCTTTCTTTGTTTTGAAGAAGGCTTTGATGATCCTTGGTCCATGAGATTCTCACCCTATAAGTGCATTTTGTGCTTGTTTGGACAGCATCAATGCAACTCCTTGTGTATGTGGGGCATTTTCTTGTTCATGTCTGGAGTATAACAGCAGCTGCCCTGAAGCTAGTCGTTGTTGTCCAACTTGCGTCCAATGTGTTTCACTGATCCCAAGCATCTCTAGGTTGTATTCCCTCATTTCTGCAGCAATTTGGAAGACTCTCAGTCTCCCACGTTGTACGAACAGTCCATGTACCTAAATAAATGGTTGCTCTGGTTGTCAGAAGGGGCATCGTCCTCGTGGCTTCCGAAGGAACTCGGCTTTCATCATGAGGCGTCATAATTCTTCTAAACGAAGACCTCCTGACTCCCAGGGCAGAGTTTAAATGGTTTGAATAATTTTTTCTGGTTAGCGTTTTTTTAGCAAGTTAGTTTTCTACGTGATGGGGTCGCTAACCCCATGCCCGCCCCTCCTCGTTTATCCGGTCTTTGGACCGGCAGTTGCTCCCGAAGGAACTCCAGGCGGAGTTTTCTCGTACTTAACTGACGGTTAGATGTCTAGATTGATTCTAGATTTTATTTCCAGACACACTTCTAGAATCACCCTTCTGAGTGAATTTTAAACTGAACTTGTTTATAATCTATGAAATGTTCTTCCTGTTCGGGAGGTTGATTAATAGCTTAGGCAGATTAATTAAGTTGAAGAAGAATCCGTTTGCCATAAGGAGAATTCATTTTGTTTAGCTTACCAGGTAGTTTTACCAATGACGTTAGAAATTAAAGCTTATTTTCTAATCAGAATTAAATAAGACTCAACTAACCGATGATTACTTGTAATAACACAACTACTCATAACTTGAATCATTACCAAGGTTAGAATTGATAGTCGTGAATAAATCGATCATTGAGTAGAATATGAAAAAAATAACGATGTATAGTCAGTATCTCAACGAGTGAAAATTAGAATTTCTGAAGTAATCACTGAAAAATATCTTACTTACGCCTGTTACTCTTCGTGGAGGTGCTTAGACCGCTCATCAGCACTCTCCACACAACTCTGTCCTGGGGTATTGTTTCCAGCTCTTACCGCCTGTAGCTCTTCCAGAGTTACTGCCAGTCCCAAGCCCAGGTAAAGAGAAGGGTTAGGCATAGGGTTAGTGACTTCATCCCGAAGAAAACTAGCTCGCTAAAAATACGCTAACTGAAAAATATCACTTAACGAATTTACCATCATCATTTGAAACATTTTCTAACGATGATCATCTGTAGAAAGATTAGAGAAGTTGGATGCTTTTAGTGTTAAATAAAAGGGTTCAATATGTACAGTAATGATCGAAGTATGTATAGGTAGATCATAGAATCCCAAATAACTGGTTGGATGGTATACTACCCTATAAGTGAGATCTGAATGTTCTTGGTCCTATTTAATGAAGGGTTTCGGGTATTAATTGTGAAAAAATCTCTAACTAGAGTGAAATAGTTATTCAGTGCCAATAAAGTTTATATTTTACTACTAAAGAAATTAGTGATTAGTATAATTTTATTATTGATAGAGTTTTAACCAATGAGATTTAACATAAATAATTAACAATCAATTACTCATTATTTTATATGATTCTTTTAATTAATCAAAGAAATTTATTAAACCTAAATTCGTAGTAAGCAAATGGAAAAAAAATTGAAAAAAAAAAAAAGAAAAATAAAATAGAAACAGGATCAATTACTGAAATTCATAGCTCATATTAAAATGTGATATAGTCTGACAAATACAATTAAAATTAACTCAGAAAAATCGATTTCAATCCAGAAATAATATTTATGTTATGTTATATTAAGAATTAATTATCTTCAACCAACAAGCTAATAAACATTGAATGAAATGTGCTAATTTAATATTCTAGAAACTTTTTAACAATTTAACATAATGTATACTTGTGATGAACACTAACCTCAGTTATTTGGTTAGCTTAAATAC